TGATGGTGATGGTACATGATGGTGATGGTACGTGATGGTGATGGTACCTGATGGTGATGGTACATGATGGTGATGGTACATGATGGTGATTGTGATGATACATGCTAAAAACCCTAACCAATGTGTAATAATGATCTGGATATCATGTATTATGTTTTCCCCCGTTCAGGTGGACAGGTTTTGAATGGAACAACCTGCTTGTCKAAATGTTCAGAAGGAGAATATTTAGCCAACAGTAGCTGCCTTAAATGTCCGCCTTCTTGTTGGACTTGTACCGGACCAACTGCCAAAGACTGTACAAGCTGCAAGGGAGTTAAGTTTTTGGATGTCACATCCAAATCTTGTTCATACGAATGTCCTGATGGGTACTTTGGAGAAGCAGAAACTGCCTTGTGTAGGCCATGTCCACCTGGTTGTAAAACATGCCAAGAATCTGGCAAGTGTACGTCCTGCAACAGTGGTCTAGTCAWTCACAACAATCAGTGCAAGACGTTCTGTCCTGTAGGATTCTTTTTAAAAAAAGAAACAATGTCATGTGATAAATGTGATTCGTCATGCCTTGACTGCATAGGAACACAAGAGCAATGCATTAAATGTAATGGAGAACGCTTCCTTGATGGTYACAAATGCACAAGTGTCTGTCCAAAAGGCACCTATTTTATCAAGCAAGTAAGGAAGTGTGGGAAGTGTCATGTATCTTGTGACRAATGCACAGGCCCTGACGAGGATGAATGTACCAAATGCAACAGCTCTTATTTAAAGGTTTACCGGATGTGTTTGAAAGATTGTCCATCACATTACTATTATAATGCTGCCCACAAGCAGTGCGAACCATGTGACTATTACTGCCAAATTTGTAAAGAAGGTAGGTTGTTCAGAAAACCTGTTGTTAAATAGACAATAACAAAACAATAATGAAACTCCAAACATTTTTTGTAGGGAATGGTTTACAGAACTGTAGTAGATGTCTTCCCCCTTTCGTCCTACATATGCACTACTGTGTTCGAGAGTGCCCTAAAAAAGGATGGTTCCTCAATACTGAAACACAGTCATGTACCAAATGTCATCCTTCATGTCAAGAGTGTATTGGCCCATCATCAAGTGACTGTACTTCATGCACAAGTTCCTTAGCTGTTCTTAATGGGTTTTCATGTCGAGAGGACTGTCCAAGTGGCATGTTCAAGAACCTTAAGACAAAACTTTGTCAAACATGTCATCCAAACTGTGAATTATGCTCTAATGAAGGACYGCATAGTTGTACTAGCTGTGTGAAAAGCTTAGTGTTACATGTTGATAAAGAAGGTAAAGGCACTTGTATTTCATCTTGTCAACCAGGCTATTACAAAGACGTATCAAAATGTCGTTCATGTGATAATTCCTGTCAGACTTGCAATGGTCCAGATAGTACTAACTGCTTGAGTTGTCCTTCTGATCATGTGTATTATAAAAATACATGCAGAAAAGGCTGTCCCTCTACAACATTTGATGATAATACTTCTCAGATATGCAAAAGTTGCCATTCGCTTTGTAAAACCTGTGTTGGGTCATCTTCACACCAGTGTACTTCATGTTCCTCGTCTCTCTTCTTGGAGGATTCCACGTGTGTAATTCGATGTTCATCAAAGTTKATTGCCAATGTTGAAACTAGAGTTTGCGAGCCATGCAATGATAATTGCCCTGATGTGTCTGGAAAACCTAAAAATCGATCCATTCAAGATCCAAGTGCACAGACATTAAAGGTTCTCCTTCAGGACCCTAAGAGTAGCGGATTACTAGCATTTGTAATCATGTCTATCATACTATGTCTCGCACTCTTTATTATCTTGTTTGGTGTTCTACAGTCATGGTCAATGGGATACATTTGTCGAAAAACGAAGTACACCATACTTAAAGCAGAAGACTTCAATGAAAGTAATGAAGACAAGCAATCACTAATGGATGGTGAATGGCAAGATGATGAAGTTTGAACTTAACACAATGAAATTTCATCCATTGTCACAGGCAGCCCMAGAAATGAGTTTTTAAAAAACCTAGAGTTTTATAAGAGAATTTAAAAGAATTCAAAATAAAGAATAACACAAATTAATGTTCTTCATTTTGAATTCAATATCCAAATTGTCGTTAGGAGGAATTAAAAAGAAAATTAAGAACATAGCGATGATCATTAAAATGTTTTAAAATAAAGATCCACTAAGGTTTAGTATTATTATTTTTTGTATTTTTATCTTTTGATTCCTTCTATTAATAAAAAGCTATTATTATATGACCGTGAATCTTAGAGCCTGGACACTAGCAAATCGAGCAATCTGATTGGATAGATCACATCGCGGACTGGTCTAGATTCTCCGGTATTAACCRGTCCGATCGCATATTAATCTTACGGCGAAAACATTTTGTCCTTTTCAATGAAAAGTGGTCATATAATAAAACTCTTATCAACCGAGCTTGGTCGGTCTGTACGGGATAATCTTGACCTCTGTCGGGTACAGACCTCAGTCAAGATTATCCCGTAGAGACCTCCAGTTCGGTTAATAAGATCTAATTACAGCTGTATACAGACTTAGCAAAGTAATCGATTGGGCTGTCTGTGAAAAAAAAAATGAAAGAAAAAAAAAGAAAGAAAGAAAAAATTTAAACTTTGAACAATAAAATAATTAATCAAAATGATGAGAAAAATGAATAGTTTCTAAAAACTAAATATATTAATATATTTTCATATGCTTTATCAAATACTTAGGAATTTATCAGAGGTGATATGTTGAGGAATTTAAGAAAGTCATATTCAATTTACATTTTTTTAAGATTCATAAAGCTTTATAATGATACATGTATACCTCCAAAATCAAATATATTAATGCTATCAATCATTATATTACTTCTGTATTATATAGTACCTGTTATTTATGAAAAGAATTCATAATCATATATCACTAAACACTGGCAAATATTGATTTGTTTTGTCATCTCAATAAAAATCTGTGAATACCTGTAAGTTTTATAAATAAAGTCAAAGTATATTCTGGTAATCTTGATAGTAGAGATACTAACTAAAACAATAGACMATTTCACAGATCCTTCAGCTCAACCTCAGCCTCGTCAGCGTGTAATGTATTCTTTAGAAATTGCCTACAACCTGTGAAATTTTWAAGTGTTTCAATTTATTGTTCGTTGATGTGTAAATTCCTTTCATTACTGCAGACTGTAGTCAAATTCTAAAGAATAATTACACGCTGACAAGGCTGAGGTTGAGTAACAGGATCCGTGAGATGGCTTATTATTAAAAAACTGGACAAATAAAACCAGTTAATATTTAATAACTACCTTTGAATGAAATGGAAGAACACACAATATCCTTGACACAGAAAAACTTGCTACCTAAAATATCCTACTAATTAATTGACTTAACATGATTCTAATCTAATAGGTGAGGCATGATACTTATTTTCTTTYCCCCCTTGGGAAATGAATGATATGCAGAGTTAAAGCTGTAATGTTAGGTACCTTATGCTCATTTTGCAAGAAAAACAGCTTCCCAGATTATACATGTTTGTAGTTGATTATTATGGCTTTAGAGCCTCTGTCAAAGTAAAATAGCTTGCCAGGACTACCCCAAACAATATCTATTTATGTATGCATTAGGCTTTAGAGTGCAAACAATTAATCTGTGAAACACTAATTACTAAATAGTACAAAATAGTGCTAACTAAACAATAGAAAACAATAATGATGAAAAGGTAAATTATACACTGTGAAAAGAAGAAAAAAAGAAAGGAAGAAAAAACCTACTGACGTTTCGGATGCTAGTCCTTCGGTGYATAATTTACCTTTTCATCATTACTGTTTCATTAGAAACACCGACACAGCTCACACTAGTTTTTAGCTAGATATATCTTCTTAATAGAAAACAATGGAATTTGCATGGAATTACTAAAGTTTCACGAYTATATTGTTTGTACTCTAGCATATACAATCACAATATGACTCTCACTTTCATTCAAACACCTAAATGTCAAATCTGACATTCATTATAGCTGTCAAATCATGTATCAGCTTAAGGAACACAGGTCATGACAAATGTAAACAACAATGCAGAGTACTAGACCATTCACCATTTTCCATACATCGGTTCACTGGTCAAACACAAAGCATTCAGTCGAGGTTGTAAGGTTCAAATTTGAATAATCTTTTGAAAGTAACTTGTCGCCTCGCTTGAGCATTTTGTGTTTGACCAATGTATGGAAAATGGTGAATTCAACTGTATTCCACCAATCCATTGTCCTGCTAACAGCCTGGTTTATATTCCCCTGTTATAGGTTAGTTGATTGATTGGTCAATCATGGTTAACTGACCGGCTATAGCAGTTTAGCAGCATGAATGGCATATCCCCTCATTCCCCTGACATAARTTCAAGTAAACAAAATTCATAATTTAAACTCACCATCACCAAAAAGTTTCATTTTCAATGGAATAATGAATAAGTTGCTGATTTATTTGTAGTTCATTCAAAAGTTGGCTCATGTTTGGTGTATCTCCCTCAGATATTGAGTTAAGCAAACTTGTAGCACCTTCTTGGCTAACCCTGCGCCACTTGTTTATGAGCCCTTGCAAGGTTTGGAGATCATTCTGTAATAATACAGTAAATAAATGAAATATAAATTTATTTATTTAAGAATAGGAAAAAATAAGCTGTTAGAGTACAAACATTATGAGTGTGCAATATAAATACCACTAAATACTGCTAAATTATGCTAATCCTATTGTTTTCTATTGTTTAATTAGCACTAATTACTACTAAATAGTGCAAAGTGTTGCACACTTTTAGTGTTTGTACTCTATTTGTTAATTAGATACCATTTGACTTTTGTTTGTTGTATAGGAAGCTAGTCTTATATGTTTGTGGGGATAAATGTGTAGTTTATTGCTTGCTCTCTTTCTCCTCATTTCTTCCTGTCTGCTTGTTTTCTACTTCTTTGTCAATTTCGCCTATGATGATGATGATTAAGATTATGATTTATATAATATGTGGATATAATCAAAGGCGCTTTACATGGAGTTGTGAATGACAGATTGCTTTTTGTGCAATTTATAGGCAATTACAAGCATGAGAGATGGTTAGTAGGAAGTATAGGCACTGAGGGTGGTCACTGCCAGGGTTTCTTTATACGTCCTCAGTGGTTCTTTTATGTCCCCCATTTACTGTAGGTTAGGAAGGGTTGGGAGACAGCACCTATGGTTTAAAGTCCTTGTCTGAGAAGACTTGAAGGTCTAACCATTTGCAGATATAATTACAAAGACAGCACCTTCTCCTCAGTTATTTTAAGATCCTGAGTGCGCAACCGACCGACGCTCTTACCAACTGAGCTAACCRGGTGTATGATGAGTCATTAATAGCTGAAAATACCTTTTTTCTGTACATTCTAACTAAATTCAGTTTCCGTAAAGTCTCCTGCTTGTCCTTTAGAATCCAGTGAAGTTTCTTTAACTCTACATCATTCTGACTGGTTGATGTGCTTGGTTCATGATCATAAGAGGCATCACTGTAAACTGCTTTCAAGTCATCTCCACTGCCAGTAACGCTGCTATGGATCTGCATTCTTTCATCTTGTTCTTGGAATAAACAAGTTCTTCCTTCCTTATAATTGTCTTCAAATTTCGTTTTCTTGGCTCTCTTATTTTGTTCCTTAGTAAATAAAATGTGGAGATAAGTGTCACTTTAAGAAGTCAGGAAAAGTAATAGCAAATGTGTATGGCTATGGCTTGCCCCGGGGATGGGGGGGGGGGGTACTCTTGCCTGTTTAGGGTAGGGATGTGCCGCTCCGCTCGAGCCCTCTGAACCCTGACCCGGTTCCAGAGTAAAATTGCTGAAATTCATACCCTGTTCCAGAGCAAGATCGCTGAAAACCATACCCTGTTTGGCGGCACGTACGTGTATAGGGAATATAAGATAGTACCCCACCCCCGAATGGCTTCTTGTGATTTAGGAGTTGAGAAATACAGCTGGCATGACAATAAGATAGTGTAGTTTATTATGCATAGGTTTATATTTTAAATGCTAGCAAACCTTATCTTCATGTTYGCATCTTCTTATTACTGGAGAAACAAATGGTGTACTTGGTGTTCTTGGATTCTTTGTGGATATAGAATTTGTTCTGGAAGTTCTTCCCTAAAAAGTTTTTAACATTTTGTGAGAAGGGTTGGAAAGGATCTTRAAACTACTGCATATCCTGAGCAGGCTATTTTGTTATAACATACCTTGCAGGAGGTTTCTAGTTCATCTCCCATGCTAATAAAGGAGCTATAAAACCTATTACATTTTATATTCTTGCATACCTACACATRTGCATACACATGCACACAAATGCACAAAGCTTGTCAAATGAAATGAAAGTATACCGCTGTGCTATTTGATTGCAGGCGATATTGGATCCCAGTTCCTCTCCTGCATGACGGGTTCCAATGAAGAAASAAATGGTGTACTAAAATACAATACAAAAGTAATAAAAATGTTGTCTGAAAAAGAAAAACGCGGTATAACTGACCTTCTGATGCAGCTTGATCTGGAAGATCTTCTTACTCTGACAGATACAGTTACGAATCGTGTTGTTTCAGCTGAAAATAGGCAAGGTATACCAATAATTGCTTGTTGCAGTCGTTGTAGTCCTTTCACTTCATATCTAAAGCTTATCAGTTGTTATAAACCCGAGCTCTTTCAGGAATGATAGTTTATTGTGACATTGATGATACACCATAATCTCGACAGAGGCCGTCCAAGCCATTCTTTTGTATACTGCGAGTGCATCACAATTATTGAAGAGAAAGAAAGTGAGACGAGAACACTTATACAAGTACCTTGCTGAACAGGGTTGTATTGAATCTACATCATCAGATAAAAACTTCTTGTGCAGAAAGATATTAAAGTTATGGGGAAGTCCAGGCAAAGAGGTGAGTTGCGGGGTGCTACGATAATTCATTATTTATAATTTCAGAACTATGGATAACCCACTGGTGAACTTACAGTGCATTTTACATTACTTTACCGCGGCGGGTTCGGAAGTTCGTTCGCAAGTTCCCAAGTTGGCAACGAACTTCGGAACTTCGAGTGAACAAAGTTCAGTGAACCGTGAACTGTTTACATCTATATTTTCAAAATTTTGCTGAAATTGCATCTTTAAAAACCTCAAATGTTCCAAAACTCATATCAAAACAGGTCAATAAGGTAAATACATTGTATTGTGACAAAATCCAACTTGGTAATTAAGTTTGAAAAGCATTTCCGACGCCCGGGGGGGGGGTACTCCCCTTTATTCGCTACATGGGTACGTGCCGTCAAACAGGGTATGGTTTTCAGCGATTCTACTCTGGAACAGGGTATATAAAATCGCACTCGCTCTGGGACAAGGTATATGAAATCACGCTCTCTCCTCTCTGGAACAGGGTATCCATTTTCGCAACACCGGAACAGGGTGTGATTTTCAGTGATCTTGCTCTGGAACAACGTATGAATTTCAGCAATTTTACTTTGGAACAGGGTCAGGGTTCAGTGGGCTCAACGGCACATCCCTACCCTAAACGGGCAAGAGTATCCCCCCCCCACCCGGGTTCCAACGATTTTATTTTGAGTTTTCAAAGTTTGGTGCCAACTTGGGAACTTCCGAAAGAACTACCCAACCYGCCGCGGTAAAGTATTAATGTGAAATGCACTGTAACAAATGGATGGCTGTATTGTTAGATAACTCTGAGTTGTAAATTAATGTCTTAACCCTCCTGTAAAGTCATCATCATCATCATCATCATAGTTAATAGACTATGTCATCATGGTTTAACATGGTATGTCAGCTATGCATCATACTGAGTACATAACATTTGACCGACTTTTGGCATCATATGGTAAATAAGAGGATAAACAATGCTAAACCAATGCTAATTTGTTTCATACTACAGGTGTACATACAAAAAAATACACAAAAGTTTGATGAAAAACAGTTTCAAGCTCACACTGGCTACATGCACAAGCAATTCTTAATTTGTTTTGTCGTTTGTTGTTTTTTGTTGTCGTATGTCCTCTCCTTTACTACAGCTCTTGACCATCATTTGTGGTAAAAAAATTGTCACTTGGTGTGAAAAGGTATCCTKGGATTCCTAAAACTGCAAGAGGTCAGACTAGAGAAAAAACAATAAATATCTATGTTAATGGTGTGGGAAGAATAAGTTTTAACCACTATCATTAATATTACTACTGTATTACATATTAATTACTGTATATATTAATTATACAGCTTCTCATTAATCCCATATAGGTAACTGTCCAATTATTTTCTTAATTGGACAGGTCTTGTYGATATGGGATTATTTAGGCAGATATATATTTATTGATAGGTAATGGGATTTCATGCTCCCCAATCAAGAAATAATTAGACTCGAAAAATTCCTCCGACTGCCAAATTGGACTTGGCCTACGGCCTCATCCAATTTTGTCAGTCCTCAGAATTTTCCTCGTCCAATAAATTTCTTAATTGGACAGCATGGAGTCCTATTACATATACATTTTTTTCTTTTCTTCATAGATTGAAGTAAATGATGACAGAGATGATTACATTCTAAGCACAACRACAGAAAGTGAACAAAATGCAATAACGTGTAGTCAGCATAGCATACAGCCTGTTTGTGAGGAAATTGTTCAAACTGAGGGACAGAAGCTGGCAGAGCACTTTATACCTTGGTTTTATRGTCTACTCAACTCTGTTGCCAATGGCAGTACTGTTTCAGATAGCCAAGATTCCTGGGGTCACCATCACTTTTGGGATGATGCAAAGTGCAGTATAGCAATCATATCCAGTTATACTGAAGATAAGTGTCAAGGGGCAGTAGCTTCAAGTAATAAGCTTATGAATCTTATGTCAAGCGAGCAGCTCTTCCTAAATGTCAATAACTCCAGTATTAAAGGTGATATGGATACTTATGGCTTGTGCAGAATAGTTGCTGGGGGAACAGTTCATAGATTCCAGGAATGCTTAGGTATATTTGAACAATCATTTGGTCTTATCAGGGATCCTTTGACAGACAATARTTGGAAAATAAAGTTTACTCATTTGAAATTGAAAGCCCAAGGACAAACCCTAAGCAGACAAATTGAAACTGCACAGGAGGCATGAAGGCACTAGGACAATAGGTCATAATAACAATGACGTACCATTGGGAAGAGGAGTATAGGCAATATGGTTAGGGGTGGACGACAGATGGGAGAATGAGGTCTCAAAAACTAAGGTTTAATAAGGTAGAGGACATTTTTTCTTGGCCATAGCAATTTTGAAGGGATGTAAGTACCAATGAGGAAACAAATCTTGGCACTCAAGTATGCTAAGGTCTAGTCTCAAACATGACATTTTWATCTCTCATTGCCACAAAACTTAWCTGATTTTGATGGAAATTGGTACAAGGGAGTCTTGATGTTTAGATTTTAGGGGGATCATGTGACTAATTAAGAGAGATAAGGGATTTCTATTCAAAAAAAAAAAGATTTGGTTAGTAATAATGCATGAAACAAACTTATACATTTTATTAATAACTAAATTTAACTTTAAACCAAAATATTTACGTAGAAGTATAAAACTTGGTACAGGGGTAAAAATTGAGTACCAAAAACTTTCCACCGCTTTCCTGGCGAGAWATATTGAAGAAATTCKTTCTTATGCCATGGGTTTCCTGTGCTTTTTTGACACCTTAGGTGAGAAAATTCACACTTTCAAATACATTTTTTGAAAAAATAAATTGTAGAACGTGTCTATGGAATAATTATGAATGTGTAGATAATATTTTTTCAGGAATATTTAATTTCTAAATGGCACTCATTTTATCCATATCAACCACCTTAGTAGAATCCCACCTAGACATCTAGATTATGACTTACTGTTCAAGGGATATCGTATGAGATAGGTCAAGTGACCAATATTYATTACTATAGCTTAAAGTGCAACTAACCCACTATAGGATACCCTTATAAAAAAATAAGAATGGCTTTAACTATTCTTTGATATCTCTTTCATTGCTGAGATATTCAATTTAGAAATAACAAAATGATGACATCATCAAAGGACTCTACTAAAAATTAAAGCACCAATTTTATTGCTATTATGTTACATATCATGTGCCCCCCATAGAATTCATAAATAATAATAAGTATTTGAGGCAATCAAATTTTAGAAATCAGGTTACATGGATATCATGTAAAATGTATATAMAAAACTTTACATTGAAATTTGCTAATTAGTTTAAACCACTCATTGATGTATACTGTTATGATGACRCACTTATATGGCTTCTCATATTGCATAAAAATCAGCTTAAAAAATTGAAGTTAATTAATATTAATTTCCACAATAAAAGCTAGCAATAAACCTGAAGCGAGAGGACGTTTACCTCCGACTCTATGCCATAATAGTTTTTAAAATTCTTTCATATTAAAATTTTTGATTCCTTAGAGAATACAGGAACAATAGTCATAATTAAAGAACAAAAGCAGTGTGAAAAGGATTATGRTCTAGAGACAGGGGTAAAACGTCATCTCGCTTCAGGCTTATTGTCTTCAAAGTTTGAAGTGAAAATCCTGAATTCTTGGCAGGGAATCTTTTCACAAAAATCCAATGCCTTATAGCTTACTTGGGCAGTCAAACTACTCTCAGTTCCTAAACCTTATACAACAACCTTTCATGATTGTGTATAGAATGAGCACTAAATAGATGATACACCTGATTGAAAAAAACGTCATATCATCGAAGCTAAGATTGAAAAGGATTTTGGGTACTCCRAAATATGCATAATATTTGCATATAGACATTTAAAAATGCACAGTAGAGCAAAGTCGGTCGACCTAGATTAACATGCCAAAGCTATTCTCCAAAGATGTACGCCGGAGAGYGGTTTGGCTGTGGTATTTTGTCTTCCCATGCTCCCCTTTGGCTGTGATGATATAACCTTTTTTTGAACCCGACAACGTTTTTTCAATCAGGTGTAAATCATTTCAATGTTGTACAACCTCCCTTTGATCCCTCTTCTCAACAAAATTGACAGGTTACACATTCCACATTGATGTTTTTCCATCATCTTCCTTGGAAATCTTAGCCCAAGCTTAATTTACTATACCTATAAAAATAAACACTTGTACATGTTCCGTWAAAAACCGAGCTAGACCAATGAAAAGAACCCATACCAATAAAAATTGATATTAGTGACAAAAATAAGATTGTGACTTTCAATAATTCAAAATGATGTGTACAATAACCATTTGGGTTTAAATGATAGAAAAGTATGCTAAAGCCTCTTGAGTTTTTGAATTTAAAGTGCTTATAATAAAAAAATGTATTTGTCCTTCATGGTTTTAATTCTTCATAAATACTACTTACAAAATGACTTAATTTATTTATTGAACTAGCTATATTCTTCCAGACTACTTTCACTGTTGTTCTGTTTTGTCCTTTTTAACTGCCAGGAAAACATTGACTCTTAAATCTAGAGTTGGCCATCGATCAAGCCAGTAAGTAATGTAGCCAACCCAGTCACACAAGACAGTAGACTTCAGTGCATCATTACCCTCTGACTTTAGTTCTGCATAAGTAGTATAGAGAGTAAAATGTTCACTTTCCTTGAAGTCACCATGATCAACATACCTGCCATCAGCAAATACTAAGTCTTCAATAAATGTTTTTGTTTGGATGTGTGCATTATCTATGAAAAGAAACTGAGTTCCTGGACTGCTGAAATTCCTGATGACACTGGTGAGGTACTTCTTAGCTCCTGTCTGGTTCTGCACGGCAGAAATAAACTTGACAAATATCATCAAATTTGCCTGTGATTAAAATACATAAAGGTTTAATCATTATTTTGGCAAATTAAATACTACTCCATGCACCGAACTTAATTACATCAAAGAATGCCGCCTCATTATCACCTGATATCCATTGTTTTTAAAGAGTTTGGTGCATGGAAAGTTCGACGTTTGCCCTAACACTTAGTATACTATATCAATCATATTAATATTACCTTTTTGAAAGTTGTATGAAGAAACATATCTTTAGGTCCTGTCCTAATAGGTAGTTTACTAGTGACATCAACTGTTCCATACTGGAATGTTATTCCAGCTGTTTGTGTGAGTAGCACTTGTGCAAGATGTTCCCAGTCTTCACAGTTATCAAGTAAAATCCACTCTGTGCCTGGRGGGAAGTGTTGTGATAACCCAAGCACCTCACTTCCAGGACCTGCCCCAAAACTGCACACTAAAGGTCTAAACATCACATAAAGTAATTAATAACTGACGAATACAACTCATAAATAGCACAATACTTACAAGATTCACGCAAGAACAACAGAGAAACAAGTAAGGAATGTGTAGTTCCAAAAATTATCCATACCCCCCTCACAGAGGAATTTTAAGACACCCCCCTACCCCTGGAAATTCCAATTTTCTTCCATACAAACTCTGTAATTTTTGTTCTTTCTYTGACCCCCCTACTCTTCGGAAATTCCTCTGTGGGGTGGGTATGGATGATTTCTGGAACTACACAATGTAGTGTAAGTGAGTGTTGAGTTTGTTGTACACTTAAACATTATCCTCACCAAAGGAAGATTTAATAATTTGGTAAAAACTCTGCTCATATTATGATGTATAATGGAAAATAAATTATTTATACTGTAAGCATTTCTTTTTATAGGCTCTTTTGCTTAGAACYTCTCAATAGAATACCTTTTATTTCCTTGATGGATATTTTTTAGGAACTYTTCCAATGGAGGAAAGATACCAGACTTGAAGGTAGCATGCACCAGACTTGCATGCGCTACAGTATATGTCCCCATGTATGCCCACCGTGACTCAGCATCATCAAATAAGGTTTGTTGAGTACCTTGTTTGGAAAACCTGTGAGACACTCTGATTAGCTTATCCCTCAAAATACCATGACACAAATGCAAGTCCAGCTGCATCAGCTGTAATTCTAGTTTAGTTTTCTCTTCCAACTGCTTGAATGAATATTTTAGAGACTGGAGAAGGTTTTCACAGATGGATTCTGAAAATAAAATAAAAAAATAAATAATATTCCAATACATTCAACACTTAGTACTAACTAAGGGAGAATTGGGTTTAGTAGGATGGCCTTGGAGGGTTTTCTACAAGTTTACTGGTTTTTCTTCCATAAAAATCACCTAAAATCTAATTTGATCTGTCAGGCATTCCCTCCACTCTGGAGAGGTAAATCTGATTAGATTTTACATTTGGTATTAGACTTGGTATATACAAGCTCTGCACCATTTTTTTTTAATTTTTTATTTTTGATGCTGTCAATAAAAAATAATCAATAATAGACCTATCCCGAATTCGCTTGACTGGTCACGAAACAATGGTTTCAAGTCAAGGTTGAACTTGATGAATAAAAGAATCATTGTTTCATGGTCAGTCAAGCGAATTCGGGATAGATCTATTGGTAGATGCTCAAACATCTCAGTTTGCAAAATATCGAAAACTGCAGTACAGTGCATATCATAAATCTGTGAAAAACTTTGAAAGAAATAATTGCACAAATTTGCACAAATTAGTAAGTTTAGTAGACCTCGGTAGACCCTAGACCTAAAAACCTTTGCAATAGTTTTTACAATTTTGCTAGTTAAATTTTTCACCAATACAAAATATACACTCTATGGTATCCTAAAAATATTATATAGTATCTTAGAATAAACCTAAGATTTACAAATATATGAGAACCAAATGAAATCGGTGAAGGGATAGTTATGCAAATTCTGTTTAAAAAATCAACCAATCATCGATTTCCAATAYTAACCGTTCAACATTTAAAAGGCAGCCAGTCACAGCCACGGCTAAAATTTCATTTCTGTTTTTACTTTCCCTTATACACTGTTATAACTTTTTCTTCATTTTGTTTGGTTATACTGTACCATTTGTTGAAGAAAGTCAAAGGAATTTTGTGATTTTTAAGGACTTTTGGAATAGGGTGAAATTGAATGCAGAAACCGAAAGTGATCCCCAAAAAACTTCAGTACAGTTTTCAGTACAGTTCTCCTAAAATATTTGTCTGATCCAAGTAAAACTTAACACTACAGCTATAACTCACTAAGGCCTACATTCTGATAAAATTTTAGCACATCAACCACAAGCTCATAATTAAGAGTAAGGTTACTGGGKTGCATATGCAACAACAACAGAAAATTGGTGTAGTTCAGCAGAGTCTCCTATTTTCTCAACCAAGAATCACCAATGAAGAAGACTCTCTTAGCAGAGAATTACATCTTATGATTGTTTTCGYTTTTTGTCAATCATCAATTTCATAAATTGCATAGGTCGGGTCTAATAGAACCTTGAAACAAACTGAAGGAACAGACAATGTGAGCTTGATCGAAKATATCATAAATAATTGTAATGTATAGAACAGTCGGAACAAAACCATCTGAACCCCAGTTGAATGAATGTTTATCGMAGTATTATGATCATACGGGTTGATGTAATCCTGAGAAGGACTGTTTGATGGGACTGACGTTTGAGGTCAATCTGAGCAGAAGTCATCTTCAGAGTCAAGTGAAGAATAAAGTCAGATTGGTCATATTTATACTACCATAATAACAATAGCCTAATTACCTGGATTTGTGTAATTGGCTGCGTCGGTTTATTGTTGTAAAAAGAAAGGCATTCACTGGATTCTCAGTTTATCATTTAAGTGTTATTGTTTCTGGTAAGCCTATTATATGGAGCCGGTAAGTTAATTGAGCTGTAAACATATGATAAACTGCAAATCCAATGAATGCCTTTTTTTGGCCACAATACGCAGCAACAACTTGTACTGGAGTTTTGGTTTACCAAGTTTGAGCATCATCCACTAAACCACTCAATTAACTTACCGGCTCCGTATAATTGGCTTATCACAATCAATAACACCGCCCACAACACTAAAACAGCACTTATTAGACCGACGCTGCCAATCATGCAAATCCAGGCTATTCTAATAGGCTATTGTTATTGAAATATGACCAAATCTGACTTTATTCTTCGCTCTGTAGATGACTTCTGCTCAGGTTGTCGAAATGTCAGTCCCATCAAACAGTCCTTCTCAGAATTACATCCACCCTGATGATCATAATACTTCGATAAACAAATAATTTTGAATAGATACCGTTGATAGATGCACTGAAAGTTGTTAACTTCATCATCTTGTTTATCTGTCTGTCACCAACTGACGCTCCTTCACACACTTCACCACTGTCTTCTTCATAGTTCACTTCAGCTGACGAGTTTTTTGAAAAACCTTTAGTTACAACTGACGCATATGACAAAGAAGTTGATTGAGAATTTATATCTTTAGAAAAAGAACTCTTGTGCTCTGATACCAAAACAGGTTCTTCCCGCAACTGCGACTGATATCGTTCATGTAAATCCTTTTTGTATTTTCTCATATCGGCCTTTAGTAAACAGCTTGTACATTCTCGGGGTATTCTCTCGACATTGGACTTTGAAGATACCATAAATGATGGTAAGTACTTAAAATGCCCGCAGCGAAAGCACTGTTGAATCAAGGATGCCATTTCGCAACCGTCTTTTAAAAGCTTGGAAGATTCCTTCACAGCGGCACAGTCGATACATACTCGATTTTCCTTCGCATTAAACCATTGTCCGACTTTAAACATACACAAGGGAGCCTTTTCGGAGCAATTTTTACACTTTTGTAGCCTGTCGTAAACACAATCAGCACAAACAACAAGAAATACGTTTTCCTTGTCAAGATCGACACGGACGCCATTTTGTCTTGCATCATAAGGAACTTGCTCCTCTTCTGTGTCCCTCTGCAGTGCAATTGTCTTACGGATTTCACTGACGTTGAAAACGTTTTCGTGGGTAAGGTTTTTGTGATGACAATTGAAGCAGCGTAATTCTTCCATCACGAAAAACACCAACTCTTTGATGTTATGTTTTACAAAAACCTTCTACTCACAAAATATAAAAGCAAATAAAGACTTTTTAAAACCATCATGCTTCGTGGCCTTCAAGACACAGGAGTCCCACACTAGGGATCGTTTTGAACGTCATGGCGACATTTCGATTCAATTTTGGTGCAAAAGAAAATGAATTAAATGAAAAAATAGTTTCTCTAGATGAATGCGGTGCAAATCAGAAAGCAGAAGAAATTAAGGTATCTTTAGATGCATTATTGAAAACAGACGTCAGGTTTAGCACACAAGAAATCGTGATAAATGAAGAAACAGTTGTGAAGACCTTGAACATCAAACACTTGGAAGAAACGTTGAAAGCAAGTGACAAAAATACGAGAAGCTGTGTATTGGACGCTTCGTTATCAAATAAAGACCTCGTACCCGATTTATACGAGGGTGGATTAAAAATATGGGAGTGTGCAGTTGATTTGGTCGAGTTTCTTGAGCAAAAAGAGGTAAAGTTTGAAGACAAACGCGTTTTGGAGCTGGGCTGTGGTGCAGGATTACCTGGGATTTTTGGTCTGATGAAAGGAGCATGTGTTGATTTTCAAGACTATAACCGTGAAGTCATTGAACACTTCACCATGCCAAATGTATTCCTTAATCTAAAATCAAGTCATTATCATTTCTCCAACCAACAGTTAGAAAGCCTTTTGTCTGCAAAATGTCGTTTTTATGCAGGCGATTGGAAGTGTTTGGAAAACTACATCAACCATAATAAAGATCCAGAGCAATTGTACGACATAATATTGACCTCAGAAACTATTTATGATACCAGAAATCAAAGTAAACTCTTAAGTTTTATTAGGAGCCACTTAAGATATCCTTATGGTGTGGTGTATGTGGCTGCAAAGACTTGTTATTTTGGGGTTGGAGGAGGTACGAGAACATTTGAGATGTTAGTTAATGGATCACAAGACTTGCTTGTAACTGTTAGCAAATTATATCAAGAAGGAGTACAAAGAGAAATTTTAACCATGGAATGGAGACAAGACAATAGTAAGGAATGAGATTCAAAATAGACCAGTTTCAAGTCCCAAATTACCGCTGTGTTCCTTGATTAGACTCATTTCCTCAGGCTTAGCCTTGAATCAGTGTCCATATACAGTGGCGGATCCAGGGGAGGGGTGCAGGGGGTGGGCACCCCTCCCTGGTTCGACTTTGTGCCCCCATACTTTGAAGATAACCAATACAAAATAATGTTTTTCCCTTCTAAGGGGTGCACCTCCCTGGGTTAACTTTGTGCGCAGCATCTCTTCCTGAACAAATTCCTGGATCCGCCCCTGAATTATCCACAAAATAGCAACGGTAAATTGAAGGACGCACAATTCACTTCAATGATACAAACACTTTGAAATTCCATGGACCTTCCTTTGGTTATTCTACACAAAATCGAGGCTAAGCCTGAGCAACAGAGAACTCGAAAATGGAGTATTGAGTGCTGGAAATGATATGACCCTCCCTAGTGATAAGAGTGAAATTTCTTAACCCTTCCCTTGGGCTTGGCTATAAAAATCATGACCCTTCCCTGAGAAATAACTTCCAAACAAAACTGAAATGAGACCTGTCCTTGAACATTTCTTACTAGAAACAACTTTACATTTATTTGTTTAATAGCATTTGTCTTGCTATTATAAACAAATTATAAAATCAATATTATCTTTCAGTAAAGATATGATCAATGAAGGTAAAGGAAACTCTGCTTGCAGGGCAGGCCAGAACACTTAGGGGGAAATTTTGAAATTGGGAAACTTGGAAATGCGAATTCCAGTGCTTTGATGGGCATCTGCAACAGCATAAATATGTGACCCTTTTTTCACTGCCTGTTTTTCATGACCTCTCTTCTATGTGGCTTAAAAGGTATGAATAATATGTAATAATAAAAATTTATTTAAATTTACCTTCGAAATGGATTTCACCAAACAACTTCAAATTTTGGCAGTACATTGTTGGATGGCTGGAAGCCATAGCATTGCATTGGATTGTGCGTTTCTCTACTCTTTGTTTATGATCACATCCTATGCTGTATTACTGAATAAAGCGCAGAAAAACCTGCTCGCGATTGTGATCAAGAACCTCATTAACTGTATGTTATATAATCCTTTTAGTACAACCAAATGTACAGTGTAAATGATTCATTAATGGGTCAAATATTTAGTGATAGATATCAGGTTAAGGCCTCATGGCCAACACTAGTTACGTAAGATTGAGTATATGAAGAGAAGAGGTATGTCCTTAACTTTATGATTTTAATATCTTTCGTACTACTTAACTTATGATATGATAGAATGCATGCACTAAACCTGTGAAACAAATACTAACTTTTAGTACTAAATAGTGATAATTAAACAATAGAAAACAAAGGATTCTGTATGAAATAGTACTAATTAGTACTAATTAATGTTCACGGATTTAGTGCGTGCACTCTACTTGCAACAGCAAATAGTGTAATTTGCCAAACACAGTATGATCCATCTAAGATTCAATTATATACACGTCTGAAATGTTTGCAATGATTTCAATTTCTATCGTGCAGGATTTTTGTATGTAATCATATAGTATAGCAAACCTTCGTCAGCAATTATTTATATCTTTATTGATATTAATTTCTAGTTTACATCATTCCAATAAAAGAACAGTACCGACCAAGTGAAATCTCATTTTATGATGAAGTTACCTGTAGGCAATGACCAGGGCAATGACATTGAATGACCATTCCCCAGCCTCTTGATTTAGTTTTTTCAAATGATTTGCCACACTATAAGGAAATTTACAAGTTGTCAAACAGAAACAGCAAAAGAAATAGGAAAAAAAAATTCCGTGCAACAGGAAGAAAACAGGACACTTTATCACATATCTTCAAATGAATAATTAAACTTTACCAATTGTCATTTGACCCCCATAAAATAGAAATGCTAACCCAATAAAAAGCACATGGAATGAGAAATGACTATATTAAGTACTACTTATTGTGGCTGGTGTGTACAAAGCTTGTCTTTATAGAATGTAAAAAGTAGGATTCTAAATAGACCAGTTTCGAGTTTCAAATTACCACTTCGCTTCTCAATTACAAACTCATTTACACATGTTTAGCCTTTTTTTGTGGGCAGAATGTTCATGTATTCCAGCCAAGGTCAGTCAAGCTTCAAAGTGTTTATGCTGTTGAAGTTATGCATTCTTTACTTTGTCATTGATGTTAAAACACTGATATGAAGCTCACCCTGTGTAAATGGGTCTGTAATCAAGCAACACAGCAGTATTTGTGGATTCAAAGCTGGTCTATTCAGTCAGACTAGTTGCATGCTTAATGCTAACTGTCTTATTGATAGATGAGGAAGTAAGCCGTGTGGGAAGCGCTCAGAAATAATATAAGAACATGCGTAATAGGTAAATTATGAGCCTTGTATAAAACGACTGAAGAAGAGTGCCAATGCGGGCCTTTCACAACTTCAAGTCACGTAAAATATGAGCCAGCTCAACTAGAAACCGTGGACAGCTGATTCAGCCTGTATTGGGCCTCGTCAGTGTGGTGTATCTAGTGAGCTGGTAAAAAAGCTGCTTACTGTCTTAGGAAAGTATTACTTACAAAAATAGCTCTATTCATGTAATGATAAAGGACAGTAATTTGCCAAGTCAAAGTTGCATATAGCATAATGAAATGGATGAATAAGGTAGTAAAAAACAGTCACAGTTCGTATCTAGTATGGATTCATTATTTTTTGTCTAAAATCACCTCACAATGCTGCTGTTGGGTGATGTACCTGTGCTGTTAGGTGACATACCTGTGCTGTTGGGTGACGTACCTGTGCTGTTGGGTGACGTACCTGTGCTGTTGGGTGACGTACCTGTGCTGATGGGTGATGTACCTGTGCTGTTGAGTGATGTACCTGTCCTGTTGGGTGATGTACCTGTCCTGTTGGGTGATGTACCTGTGCTGTTGGGTGATGTACCTGTGCTGTTGGGTGATGTACCT